ACGTCCTTATTTACATAGGGAAAGGTGACTGTGATTCAAACCTGGTAGGATCAGTCTGCTGCTCCCTCAACCTGGTGAATTCCTTTTGTTGTAAAACAGATGTGGTAGGGAAAGGGGCTGGAGTCTGGGCCATGCTCTCACACTGTGGGAGTTTGGTTTCAGGTTCATTTACAATGCCTCGGTTCATTAGTTTTCATTTTATTTGAGAGGCAGAGGGACAGAGAGAGGGAGAGAGAGAGCTATTTCGATTTTCGACTTTATGAGAAGGCTTCAAACATTTAATAAAAAATGTGCCTCATTGAATGAAGACTCTAAGGTCGGCCGTGTCAGCCAATGGACATTGGAAGTGTTTCCTCATCCTTGCACCAGCAAGCTCAACGGCATTGCAGAACTGCCACAACCACCTGGGCAGACCCCTCTGCGCGTGCGCCACAGGGGGACCGTGGGTGGATGTCACGTGGCTGTTCCCCATCCTTGGGTACTGGGGCAGTTGGGAGGCTGGATGTGGCTTCTTCCCTTTTCTCCCCCTCCCCTAGAAACAGGAGGAAGAAATAGAAAATTCAGAAACAGTGATCGCACCCTGGGTCCTTCCCATCCTGATCAACTACGTAACCATCATCTAAACAAACGCCAAAAGTGCCTTATCTTTTAATTCCAACACCCCACCTTTCTGCTTCCTCCCACTCCCCAACACACACGGTGAAAGCCCTGCAGTGTTTCACATTTGTGGTTGCCAGTGTGTCACTACACCATGACCTAACTTAGGGCCCCATTCAGGCTCATCCCATTCTCACTGTTGTAATTGTTGTCATTACCAACAGTCCCCCAACGCCACCCCATAACTTGAATATCTTTTCAATATGCCAATAAGACACCATTGATGTTTGCATTACTAACTCTGACCTTGAGTAAGTGAAGCTACCAGGAGCATCCACAGACTGAGCCTTAAGTTGGTTCATGAATGTGTCAAACTTTGTGCTCTTTTCCACAATCCCTTCTTTCCAGAATTCGATGCCCTCTAGAATGACTCTCAAGAAGCTAAAGGCCATTCATTAAGATTTCCTACTCCGATGACTGAAAGGAGAAAGCTGCTTTTGTATCTAGACAGGTTATAAATGAACCAGGTGTTGGGCCAGGAGCGGTAGCCTGGTGGCTTAAGTCCTTACCTTGCAAGCGCTGTCATTTCATATGAGTACTGATTTGTGCCCTGGCTACCCCACTTCCCATCCAGCTTTCTGCCTGTAACCTGGGAAAGCAGCCGAGGATGGCTCAAGGCCTTGGGGCCCTGCATCCATATTGGAAACCAGGAAGAGATTCTTGGCTCCTGGCTCCAGATCTGCACAGCTCTGGCTGTTGCAGCCACTTTGGGAGTGGCAGCAGAAGATCTTTCTCTCTGTCTTTCCTTTCTGTATATCTGCCTTTCCAATAAAAATAAATAAATCTTAAAAAAAAAAAAGAACCAGGTGCTTCGAGAGGCTGAGGTACAGGGAGCCGTGTAGTGGCAGAGTCTTCATGAGGCGTGTCGCCACCGTGTTGCCACCACCACTCCCAGGCCATGAAGGCTTCCTGCTGCTCCGCCTGAAAGTCACCTCCCTTCTGCCCGGGCACACACTGACAGAAGCCAGCAGAAACTCTGGAGGGCTGAGGGGAAAAGCTCCACACTCCGTGGTCTGATTTCCAGTCCTGTCCCTGTGGTCCCCAGGCAGGCACACGTACTCGGCTAGGCGACCGGGGGAGCCATCGTCTGGAAATGAACCGGCCCGAGAAGAAACAGCCTCTGCTGATGTTGCAGACGGCAGCAAGAAAATGACTCCGTGGGATCCATGGTGCAGTCAGGACTCAGCAACTTTTCAGAGTTTTACTCTTCAACGTTAACAGAGTTGAGGACCACCATATATTTGAGGAAAGCTTCTAAAATAAGAGTCAAAAGAACTCAATCTTGAGATTTATACACTCCATATACCAGACAGGGAACAAAGAAAATACTAAAGCAACAGCGAAGCCTTAAAGCCTTGGAGACACCGAAGATGTTGGATTTATGAAGTAAGATCAGGGTGCCACAAACAAGAACAATCTAAAAGTCAAAAATACAATAGCAGGAGCTTCATCAGCAAAAGAGGAAAAGATCGGCCAAAAAGGTCCTTGGAAAGTAGAAGAAAGACAAAAAGTGCAAAATGGGGAAAAGCTTTTTTTTTAAGTATGAAGGAAAAGTTTGCACAAGAAATGTGATTCCATCTCCATAAACTTTATAGCTCAGTTGTAAATAATACTTAAGTGTTCTAATAAGGACTAAAGAAGCTGGGATTGACTAAGTTCTTAGGTGCCTGGATGTTCTGAACATTATAGAAGAGCTAACTAAAGTAATAAAATTGATAAAAATGTAAGTAATGAATATTGATTTAACCAGAAATCTGATTTGACTATGTTGCGAGAATGGGCAGAAAAAACAAGTTGACTTGGTGAGTGTATTTGTGTTTATATGAATCAGAGTGGTGATGGTAAGTTCATCAAATACTAAAGTGAAGAGATGCTAAGTGAAGCTAAGCAACAATTGTCAGTAGAAGCATGAACAGTGTATGAACCTGTATGGATCCAGAGTTAGTTGTCTCTTCGGGGAATTACTGATAAAAGAATGTTAGGTAAAACCCCTGCAGGTGACCCTGACCCAACCCTGTGGGTGACCCTGACCCATCCCTGCAGGTGACCCTGACCCATCCCTGCAGGTGACCCTGACCCATCCCTACAGGTGACCCTGACCCATCCCTGCAGGTGACCCTGACCCATCCCTGCAGGTGTCCCTGACCCATCCCTGTGGGTGACCCTGACCCATCCCTGCAGGTGACCCTGACCCATTCCTTAGAAGTCTGCAGGACACCTGGGCCTGGGCTGCCTGCAGGACAAGAAGATGTGCCCTTTCCAGGTCTATGATGGAAATCCCAGGAGAACTTCACAGAGATGGGGATGGAGAATGCTTTTACCGCCTGTCCCAAGGGAAGAGTGTCTCACGGTATTGGAAGTAAGGCTTCAACGTGTATGGGAGACATTGTTCTCCTAGGTGGGTTCAGTTTCTCTGTCCTTGTCACCAGCCAGTTCACTTCACATCCTCCGCTGTCAGACCATTACACAATTCTACTTTAAGGAAAGAATAAAAGCCAAGAGAATTACATTAGATTCGATTTATTTCCTTGGTTACTGTCTTTTTCTCCAACCTCATTGTTATTGACAGTTTATACTTTTACCACTTTTCTCTGAGTTATCTTCTTGACCTGCGACCATTGATTGCTCTGTCTTCCAAATCAACTGCCCATGAGACCTACAGCTGCCCTCTTCATTGTCTCTGCATGGCTTTACCCACACATTACATTCCGAGAAAGAAAAGCTGCAAAAACAGTATAACAATTCTACCTTTCCCCTTAGCTCACCCAACTGTTAGGAGGTTGCTGTGTTTGCTTCTCTTCTACCTGTGAGTGTACGTGCTTTTTAGCAGAGCAATTTGAAAGAAAACTGCAGGGCCTGGTACGTTGGCCTTGCAGTTAAAGTTCTCACCTTGAATGTGCCGGAATCCCATGTGGGAGCATGTTCTAATCCCACCAGTCCCGCTTCCCATCCAGCTCCCTGCTGTGGCCTGGGAAAACAGTTGAGGATGGCCCAAAACCTTGAGACCCTGCACCTGCGTGGGAGACCCGGAAGAGCTCCTGGCTCTGGCTTCGGATTGGCTCAGCTCCAGCTGTTGCGGTTACTTGGGTAGTGAATCATCAGATGGAGGATCTTCTTCTCTGTCTCTCCTCCTCTCTATATATATCTGACTTTGCCATAAAAATAACTAAACCTTTTTTTAAAAAAAGAGAAAACTATAATTGTCACATTTTTCCTAAATGCTTCATTGCAAAGACTCTACAATAATACTTAAGCATGCATCTCCTAAAAAGGCAAAACATCATTCATGATAATATGCTGGTGATCCCAAGGGATTTAACATTGGTTCAATAAGGTCACTAAGTAAACCCTCAATTGTCTCTTCTGAAATTCTTTAAAGTATTGTTCCTATTGTTTCTTAAATTAGGACCCATATGAGTTTCTGCATTATCTTTGGTGCTTTTGTTTCTTTGGTCTCCCAATGTACATGTTAGGAGGTCCCAGCCTTTTCAATGTCATGGTAGTTGACTTTTTTGAGGAATTCTGGGAGAACATTCGTCATACTGGATTTTTTGATGTTTCATTCAAGTTTCAGGTTAAACACTGCTATTTCGTTCTGTGTTTGAGCAAGAAAACTGCATCAATAGCATGTGCTTCCGGTTGCAACACATCATGATGTCAATTTTGTCGCATGATTTGTGAGGTTAATTTTCATTCCTACCTCGTTTGCCAACTTTGTTTCTTTTTGGTACAAGCATCTCTCCCCATTTATGATTAATGAGTAAGGTTTTAAGAACACGGAAGCACCCCGCTTCCAACTTTTCCACTCAGCAGTTTTAACATGCAATGATTATCTTTGCCTCAACCAATTATTGCAGCGATAATTGAGAAGAGGAAACTTGAAGTTCCTTCTGTATTGATTAGCTGGCCTTCTTGTATAAAACAGAGTGTAGTTTTGCTGCTGTTTGTTTAGTACCAGGATGGACTCCAGATTCCTCTCCTTTTCTTTTACAATCTGAAACCATCAATATTCTTTTTGATGGCAAAATCAAAATACATGTAGCAATGTGGGGTAGGGCTGGATACCTGCTTCTGGGTATGTTGGAATGCGTCATATGCCTTTGAGGCTTCCTGGCCTCTTGGCCCCCGTTGTTCTAGGCTTGCCTTGGCCTGCCCTGCCCTAGGTGTGTGCTTCCAGGAACCTGTGTTCATTTCATTCTTACAGCGTGCCTGCTTTCCCGTGAACAGCAGACTGGTTACTCAACCTCCTCGGAGCTGTTTGACAACTGTCTAGGGCACTGCCTTCAAAACTGCTCTTTCTGATTCCTTTCTCTGAGTCACTAATTTCTCTTTCTTTCTTAAAGATTTACTGATTTATTTGAAAAGCAGAATGACGGAGAAAGAGAACAAAGAGAGAGTGTGTGTGTTCTTGGCTGGTTCCAATGAGTCCCTTCCTAATGCCTGCACTAACTAGAGCTAGACCAGCCAGACACAAGAGCCAGGAATCCCATCTGGGGCTCTCATGTGGGTGGCAGAGCCCCAGCTTCTTGAACCATCATCTGTTGCCTTTCCAGGAAGCTGTGCTGGAAGCAAAGCAACCGGGGCTGAATTCATCACTTCGACCTGGGATGCTGGCTTGACAAGTGACAGCCTGACCCGCAACACCACGGTACTGACCCAAATCACTCTTTTTTTTTTTTTTGAAAGATAATGAAATACATGTTACATGTGCTGGCAAGAAACCAAGAAAACTTCCACCTATGAACATCTGGCTAGGGAATCTTATAATTTGTCATTCAAATAAGATATTTTGAAAGTAAAAGGGGAACTACTGAAAACAGTTTACCCTGGAGACATAAACTGATATTGTCTGAAGCTCTCCACCTACTCCTACGTGACCCTATGATCTAGTTTCCATGGTTAGGTTGGTTTCCCTTGACAAAGCTTTCAACACGTAGTCCACATGTCCCTCAAACCTGCAGCTTTTTATTTGCTGAGAAGGGAAGTCAATAACTCTTGGTGGATTTTTAAGGCACTTTAAAATCTGACCTTTCGTGATCAAGCTTCGTTTGTTGGCATGCCCATCACGCTGCCACCAGGCTGGCCAGGAGGCTGCTGAGAACAGGGGTCATTTGTCATGTGCTTCCCTGTCTCAGGCACCTGTGAAGCCAGCAGCATGTAGCACGTGCTCACATAGGAGAATGTTCAGGAAGAGTTGGCTCTTGGCTTTTGTCAGCATGGAACAGGCTCCTCCCATCTAGGCCCTGGCTTTTCCCGCCCGTGATGTTGCCCCATTTCTCACCTAATTCTCACCAATTTCCCATCATGATTGCACAGTAGTGTGTTCCCTCTGGGGTCTTCCATGTCAGCTGCACAAGATGGAATACGGCTGTAAGCATAAGAAGTGCATGGTGACACCCCAAAACAAGAGGGAAAAGGCGGGAATGCAGAAAAACTTGCAGTTGTGGAGGTGAGGATAAAGTCACGTGACCCAAGGAACTTGTGAACAGATAAGGAGAGGGAGACATTGGGCAGCCTGCAGGGCCTGGAGTCTGGTCGCTGGAGAGCAGAGTGGTGGCTGGAAGGCTGCTCCAGGAGGGATGAGAGGTGGCCGTGACAGCAGCAAGGCTGAAGCACAAACAGCACTTTCCCTGTGGTGGCAGTTGGAGAGTCAGTCCTGAACGTCAACACGGCTAGTACATGGCCAGGCAAATATTGGTCAGCTGTTACTCTGAGTGTTTCCATGAGCGCGCTTTCTAATGCGATTGATATTTAACTTGGTAGTCTTGAGTGAAACCGAGTAGTTTCTCTAATTTGGGAGGGCTTCATGCAGTCAGTTCAGGTTTTTAAAATAAAAAGTTGGAGTGAGTGGGTATTTGGTGCAGCAGTTGACACCACACTTTGGTGCCCACCTCTTGTACACGGAGTGCCTGGGTTTCAGGTTCAGCTCTGTCTCCAAACCCAACTTCCTGTGAATGGGAGATAGCAGGTGATGGCCAAGGACTTTGGTCCCTGCCACCCACAGGGGAGACCTGGAATGAGTTCTAGGCTCCTCGGCTAGGTCTAGCCCAACCCTGGCTATTCTGGGCATTTTGGAATGAACCAGTAGATGGAACATCTCTCAGTATTTGTATCTTTTTGCCTTTTCAAATTAAAAAAAAATTCAGTACTTAGTTTTAAAGAATGACTGGTCCCCCAGAAAACAAGAGATTTTTGCCAGCAGATGACCTTGCACTCAAAGTGAATCTTGGCTCTGTCTCAGCCATTTGTCCCCACAGATTTAAGTTTTCCCATGCCCGCCCCCCAATCACATGGGTCAACTCCTTCGAATTAATCTCTCTCTCTCCCCATTTCTGCCCCTCCGGAGAACCGTGAGTACTGTGCTAAACACTCAGTGTATGACGTGGCCGTAGCTTCCAGGCTGGCGTGTTAAGGCTGGAAGCACTCAGCACCAAGTGCTGGGCAGGATGAATTCAACAACCTCCACAAAACCCCACATCTAGGTGAAATTCCCATTTATCAGGAGCCATCTGTTACCAGGCGTTGTTCTGTGTATGGAGAAGACATAGAACAAATGTGTATATTCTATGTATGTACTGTTAACTTATGCATATATAACTCTATGAAGAAAAAATAAATGCGGGGCATGGCACAGTAGCCTAGTGGTTTGTGGTTAGTCTTTTTTGCATGAGCCGAGATCTCATACAGGTGCTGGTTTGTATGCCGCTGTTCCATTTCCCATCCAGCTCCCTGCCTGTGGCCTAGGAAAGCAGTAGAGGAGGGCCCAAAAACTTGGGACCCTGCACCAGTGTGGGAGACCTGGAAGAGGCTCCTGGTTTCAGATTGGCTCAGCTCCAGCTCTTGCGGCCTCTTGGAAAGTGAACCATCGGACGAAAGACCTTCCTCTCTTGTCTCTCCTCCTCTGTATATCTGCCATTCCAGTAAAAAAAATAATAATTCTTGAAAAAAGAAGATAGGGGCTGGCACCATGGCACGGTAGTTTAAGCCTCTGTCTGTGGTACCAGTATCCCATATGGGCACTGATTTAAGTCCTGACTGCTCCACTTCTGATCCAGCTCCTTGCTAATGTGCCTGGGAAATAAACAGAAGATGGTGCAAGTCCTTGGGCCACTGTATCCACTTGGGAGACTTGGCAGAAGCTGCTAATTGTTGGCTTTAGACCACATCAGATCTTGCCACTGTAGCCATAAGGGGAGTGGACATTGTCTAGAAAATCTTTCTCTGTGTCTCTCCTCTCTCTCTAAATCCACCTTCCAAATAAAAATAAGTGTATCTTAGAAAGAGAAGGAGAAAAGACATTTCAAATTGCCAAGCCAAGGCTGGTAGTGTTGGCTGTAGGAGACCAACTGGAAGACCTGCTAAACCGCACACTCCCTGCAGAAAGAAAGGCACTCTGAAGGTTTGGAATGGAGCAGCAATAGCCAGCAAAGAAACTGTTAAACACACGCTGGGTTGATGGTAGAAAATACAAGGTGTATTCAAAGCTCATATATATGACACCTCATACACACATTTAGAAGATGGGCGGTAAGAGAAGTCCACAGAGACGTTGAAGTGTTTCAGGTTCTTGTGCTAATGAGTAGCGGGTAGAGACTTGGATTAAATTTAGGCTTTGTTAGAAAAAGACACAGCTTCTGGTTCTTTGAGGCCTGGATTGGATTGAACCTTCTTTGTGAGTCCTCTATAATTACCCCCTGATTCTTTCATTTATCTTTGCAAGTCCTCCAGCACATACAGCCTGGCCATGTCATTAGCACTTAACTACACGTGTCCCTTGTCTGCACAGTGTTGATCACCCAGGCTCTCAATCCTGGTTGATTAATCGGCAGGAGTGCCCAGCTGACACCCTGCTTCTAACACTGCCTCCTACCAGCTCTGTCAACTTGCGCATGCTGCTGGCCACTCTCAGGTTCTGTTGTTCTGTTAGCAATGTGAGAGGACAAGGCAGATGTCTGTGAGGAGCCAATCCAGCACCAAGGATAGCGGATTCATTCTTCTTTTCCTGCAAGCCCTGGAGAAATGTCCAGAAAGATGAAACTGAGAATCTACAATAGGCTACAGCCAATGGGCAAATGTCACTAAGCACAGCTTGCATCTCTCATCCCACTTCCGCAATTGGGAGCTCTCACTTTCTGCCCCATGAGGCGCTTGGTCAGTCTTGCCTTAGGATGGCTCTCTGACACACTCTGCAACACAGACCGTTGACTAGGCTAAGGCCAAAGGGAACATGAAATCACCAAGGTCCTTCCTTCCACTGCTGCACTGAGCTGATTTGCTCACTACCCGCAGGGATTGGTTCAGGCTCCCTGAAGAAAACCCAAGTCTGTGGATGTGCATGTCCCTTACACAAAATGGTGCAGTATTAGCATTTGTGCTACTCACACCCTCTGTGTACTTAAGTCCTATCTAGATCACTCACACTGTTTAATATAATGTAAATTTGTGGTAGTAACTAAATATGGCATAAATAGTTGGGGCCCTATATTGTTCAGGGAATAAAATCAAGAATAAAAGGTATGTACCTCACTGCCTCACTGCAGAGGCAGCCATGGTGGCCTAACTAAAGCAACAATGTACCATTTTTTCTCCAGTGTTTTCCATCTCTGGTTGGTTGAATCCCTGCATGCTGATCCCACAGATGCAAAGGGCTGATTGTATTCCTGCTGCTGCGGCATACCTTTTATTGTTTTCTTCTCTCTATACCAACTTTTCCCTTAGATTCTGAACCCATGACTTAATCTAGCTTTTGATACCTACCTGATCTTTTGAACCCCACTTGGATCCTGCCCTCTTGCACTGATGTTCCATTTTCAGATGCTTGCTGTTGCCCCAGTGGACACTGCCCTGGGTCTCAGTTACGCTTATAAACTTTTCTCTCTTGCATTGCCAGCCTTCTTTAGTTCCCAATTGCTTACTCACTGTTTATAATGCAACATGACAGCAAAACCATGTCGTTTTCAAAGTTTCTCTTTGGAAACTTTGGGATGTTGACAACTGTTTCAAAACTGTGTAAGATGCATCTCTTTGGAGGCCTGCTGCTTGCTAGTTTTTCTCCATACCCTCAAGGGCAGGTGCTAACAACTGTAGGAAGGGTTGTTGCGATGGACATAGTAAGCTCTCTTCTCATAGACATCACAGCATTGACTTGGTTCTACACCTGCACCTACACGCCTTCTGGTGCATTTTTCTTAGGCTTTTTAACCAAAAGCAATGGATTCCATGGGCCAAACCTAGATTCCAAAGTAGGAGTTACAACACAAAGCAGCATGTGAGTTGTTTAGTGCCGTGTGAGAAGTCAACACAGCAATATCAACACCCAGCAACATAATCAGATTATTTCACAGTTTCTGTGGAGCAGAGGGTCCTCTTCTTAAAGTACTCTCACAAGGCCGTGTTAATGTATGGGATAAAGCTCCAGCCTTATCCGGAGACTCAACTGGGAAAGGAATCCAGTTCCTGGAGGGTGAATGAGCCAAGGGCCTCTATTCCTGGCTGGTCCTTGGTCAGTGATCACCTTTTGATCTCTGTGTGGTGTAATCACAATAGTATGTCCCATCATTTCATCATGTTAAGGCAAGTCACAGACTTTATTCACACTCTCACATCTGGTACTAATATGGGGAG